GGAGGAATAATGACTCCAGTTACTGAGGCGAGGGGCACGCTGGAGAAGAGAAATCAAGAGTTCTGTTTGGGCCTGTGTGTGGCTCAGTGGTTGAGCATCAACCTATGAACCAGGAGGTCACGGTTCCATTCCCCATCAGGGCACATGCCCTGGTTGCGGACTAGATCCCCAGTAGGGGGCGTGCAGGAGGCAGCCAATTGATGATTCTCATCAATGATGTTTCTATCTCTCTCTCTTCCTCTTCCTTCCTCTCTGAAATCAGTAAATATATATTTTAAAAGGAGCTCTGTTTGGGACAGGATACATTTGAGCAAATTACTTTTCCCCTCTCTTTTGGCCTCTGCCTTCTCGTCTGTGAAGTGCGGGGCTGCCCACTTGGTCAGCAGAACCTCTTGGTGGTGATTAGGGTTATTTTCCCACGTTCCCATGTCTTCCAATATAGTTCGAATTCAGAGAAAATAAGTGGCGGGATTCTTTTAAGTTTTCTTTTCAGGAGAGAGAGAGAGAGAAGTGGGGAGAGAACAGCAAGTCCCCACCTCCCACAAGGGGTCCCGCCCACGCCGCCGTCCTGACAACCAGGAAGCAGGGTGGAGGGCGAGGGGCGAAAGTCCCAGCTCAGGGCACAGATGAGGAAGAAGAGCCAAAGTTCGAGTCAGATTGTGAGATTGCATTTCCTCCAGGTCTCGGGCTTGCACTGTAGAAGGTCAAGGGCTTCTGAAAGGAAAAACATCAGCGTTTCCCTTGCAAACCACCTCGGAGCCTGGGCTTTGCGGCCAGTCACTCACCCTGCCGGGACCCACTCTCCTCCAAGCTGCAGGCAAAGACCTCCACCTCCTCTGCAAGCTAGAAATTCCGCGATTCTGCTGCTTTTAAGGGAAGAAACAAACCAAATACATGGAAAAGTCCAAGGAGCTCGAGACCTGAATGGATCGTTTTTGAAGGAGTTTGGCAAACATTTTCATTCACGGTCCGATGTACTGGACACTTACAATGTGCCCGGGGTTGTAAATATACAACCCTGAAAATACAGACACAGTCTCTTTTTCAGAGAGCCTTCACTCTGGTGGGTGCAGGACAGACAGACAGACAGACAGCTAGATACTGTCCAGAGGGTGCTATGGAGAGAAATCGAGCAGAAAAGAGTGTAGCCCATGTCAAGACCGGTTGAGATAAAATGTACTATTTTACATAAAGCCATGAGGGAAGGCCTCCAGACACAGGGAGCCATAAGCACAGAAGTCCCGAGTCATGCCTGGCTTGTTCTAGGAAGAGTGAGGAAGCAGTATGGGTGAGGATGAGTGTGAGGGACAGGATACTGGTTCAGAGGTGGGGCTGGGGGTCATTTAGGGCTCTGGCTTTAGCATGAGCGGGATGGGCAATGGTTGGAGGATTGTGAGCAGAGGGCTACATGACTCGAACAACTGAAAGAGGCCCCGGATACTGAGTGGTCCACGGAGACAAGGGAGTCCCTGGGATACCAGATACCGTGTTGTGATGCCTGAAGCTCTAACGCTATCAGGCCTATTTGTTCCAGCAAATGCTTAAACCACAACCGCTGGCCTTGGTGAGAAGCCCGCACCGTCCCCGCTGGAAGCTTCATCTGCTCATCCATGTAGGGTGGTGATTACTGGGGATGCCGGGGATAAAAGGCATAATCTCTACCCAGTCTGCGGACAAAGAACTTGAGGTCTCGCCAAGTTGAGTAATAGCCAAGGCTATGGGCTAGGACGTGGCAGAGCTGAGTTCCAGCCCAGGGCTGTCTGACTCTAGACAAGGCAACCAACATTCGCAATGCGGACTGATCTTCAGACGAGGGAAAGCCTTTTGAGAAACGAAGAGTCTGCGCAAGATCACAAATCTGTGAGTGGCAGAGCTGGTCCCAAACGGATGCCAGGGGACTCTGTCCATGTGTCAGAGTGACAAAGGAAGCCTACAAAGGGAGATAGAGAGAGAGAGAGAGAGAGAGAGAGAGAGAGAGAGAGAAAAGGAGGAGGTGGAAGAGAATTAAAAGCAGTCAGAGAGAAAAGCAGACACCCTACAAAGAAACAACAGTCTCATGACTGACTAGCAGGCAGCAAAAAATGGAAGCCAGAGTCGTACATCAAATAGGGGACCAGGCTCACCTATGTCAGGGAGGGAGGGGGCTAGGGAAGGAGGCACACCTGGGAGAATTCTGAAGTTCTGGCTGGTAATGGGCCATTTTCCCACCCAGACAGTGAGCATGGTGTCCCTGTGATTCTTTAAACAGCTCAGACTCTCTCAGTAAACAAAAGTATGAAGAGCGGAGGAAGTGGAGACACGTACAATAACTCGGGAAACTGGATCGTGGAGAGAAGAGAGGGGCAGGGGGCTGCAGGAGGACGGGCGATGCCAGGAAACAAAGGGAGGTGGCCCTGCGAAGCTCGCCGGCGTTGGTCCAGCGCAGGCGGAGAACTCCGCACGAGGAGGGATGCCTCCCCACGTCAGCAAGAGGGACAAGGGAAGAGATGGGCGCACGGGGTTCGTACTGGAATGCTGTGCCTGCTTTCCTGGTGGCGGTTTTATACATGGGGCGGGGGCAGGTACCAGGACTGGCAGCGATGGACGGACAGCGTGCGGGACAGGTGTCTACAATACCAAACATTGATTCGACAAAGCACCATTATTCCGTGGGTACTCCTCACCAGTGAGGAGGTGTGGCTTCTCCCCCCGAGGCCTGCGTTAGTGTCACCAGAACAGAGCACACAGACTGCGTGGCCTAAACAACACACGCGATTTCCTCCCGGCTCTGGAGGCTGGAAGCCAGGGTCAAGGTGCCAGCAGGGATGGTTGCCCCTGAGGCCTCGCCCCGTGGGCTGGCAGATGGCCTGGTGTCTTTGCACGCCTGCCCAGGACCTCTCTTCCTGAACTTCTAGGGACACCAGTCCTATCGGGTTAGGGCGCCACCCTCCAGGCTCCTTTCTACTCAATCACCTCTTTAAAGAGCCTGTCTCCAAATACAGTCACATTCTGGGGTGTTGGGGGCTAGAGCTTCAACATATGAATTCTGGGGGACACCATTCAAGCCATAACACAGTCCACAGAGAAATCCGGGTTTAGGAAGCTGGACGACTTGCCCAGGACAGGCAGTTACAGAGTCAGAGCTGGATGTGGAATCGAGCAGGTCAGTTCCTGCGGCTGAACACGAAGCATTTCACCAGGAAACAGCCCTGCACCCAGATCGGAGATGCACAGAAAAGGCCTTTTGGAGAATTAAAAACAAAACAAACAAAACAAAAAGCTGACCAGAATAAAGGAGTCATATTATCAGACCTTTCAGAACTATGAGCAGAATATTCCAGAATCCCCACGATGGACTATACTTGCACAGGCTCCCTTTGTAAATCTGAGCTTTAAGCAGAAAGACTGTGAATTTTAGCCAAAATGGCCGGAAAGGTAAACAATTCTGCATCAGCTGAATCCTCTATCCCTGGCTCCCTTTCTGGAGAACCAGGGCCGAGGAGGGTGACGCCTGCTGGCCGAAAAGGCGCTGGGTGGGAACCCGGCTCCTTTCATGTGTGGTCCCCGCCTGCCCTCTGCTGGCCAGCAGTCGGAACTCTCCGGAATCTGCCCACAGCCCTCCTTCCTCCAGAAACCAGATCCGCAGGGAAAGGTGGGAAGAAAGGTGGGAAGAATCTACCGGAAGCAGCCAGGCCCACCCTCTCCAAACACCCGCACACACTTGAATCAGTGGTACAGGCGACTTACACCTTTTGCGTTCTGTGAGACTGCAGAGCTGTTTCGAAACTTGCTTCAGCTGTTTTCATCATTAACATTTTAAAAACTTGCTATATCTGTCTGCTACCTTCTCAAAAATGTTTCCCAAGATCTAAGAATAGGAGAATTTGAATGCAAGTCTGGATGATTTAGCAAAACACTGGTCTGCTCGTCGGTTCGTGTTGTCAAAATTATTAACTTATGCTTCGAAAGATCTCCCTCCATCATTCTAAAACCATGGTTTCCCATGTGATGGCCCAGAGACCCCACCATTTGGTTACAGTATTTTTATAAAAATAATTGTTTTCCTTTTCAAATGTGACTTTCCTTTTTAAAAAGGCAGCAGCAGTTCATGCTTATAGGAATGTCACTGTTATATATTTGGGGAAAATATTCTAAGTGATAAAGGGTTCCCTTGACCTGAGAAGCAGCACATAAATGCAGGAGAAACCCCTGGCCTCACCAAGAACTAGAACTCCCAGCCGACGTGCTGCACAGGGTGTGTGGCCTCGGGATCTCAGTGAGATTCAAAATGTGGGGCTGGAGAGCCCTCCGTGCCCGACGCCAGGGCGAGCCCCGCACCCTCTATGCAGATGCTAGAAAAGGAACTTAAAATGCAAATCGCATCACGATGCCAGGAGAGGCCAAATGCCTCGCCTTCGACTTTACAACAAAACACAAATTCCTTACCGGCGTCCCCAGGCCAGGGGATCCGACCCTGCGGCCTTTCCACGCCTGCACTCGCTCCCTCTCCTTCCCCGTCAGTGTCTGCATCTTTATCCTTCTGGCTCTCTCTGTGGCTCTATTTCAGTTTTGTTTATTTCCTCTGGGGCACTCGCTCTAATTTATAATAACTTGTTTATTGATCTCACTGTTCATGTCCTGTCTCCACCACTAGGCATCACCCATCGGGTGAGCCTGGTCCATCTTGCTCTTTGCCGCATTCCCCACGCCTAAGGAGCATATATGTATCACTGAATGAGGGAGTGAATGACGAGAGCAAAGGAAGGTGCTGAGCGGTGAGCAGCACCCGAGCCATTCCATGCAGATCACCGTACCAGGTTCCTTCATCAACACAAGGCAGTCCCATCCCTGACCCACGGCGTGGGACGCAAGGAGAGGCCAGTGGCTGGGATCAAGGAGGCAGACAGACCTGCCCTTTCACCTCTGACACCTGTCATCGAAACCTCTCTTTCTCTGCCGGGTGACCACCAGCGAGACAGACGGAACCACAGGAGAGCTGGCGGGAAACACGCGCAGGCCAATGCAACAGACGCAATCATTTAATCAGCGGTCAGGTACTCATCCGGGATGCGAACGCCGGCCATAAACCAACAGCAGCACGGAGTGCTGATCCGATGCCTTCTCCTCGAAGGGCACCGCACAGCGCGGGCTCTGGGCCCCGCCCTCAGGGAGGCGCAGTCACAGTCCCATTTCCCAAATGGAAACAATGAACCCGTGGTCGGCGGGCTGGGGGACCGGGGCTGGGCAGCAGGCTGATGCCTGGCTTCCAGGGGCTCTGTCTCCATCCTCCCCGTCGGACCATCCGCAGCTGAGCAAGGGAAACAGACTCAGAACTGTCATCAGTTTGCAACGTGTGGCTGGATGAGAGCTGTCCCCGAGAGAGGTAGCTAGCGATGGCGAGGGCCAGGGCTTGCGTGGCCCAGGGAGGCCTGGTCAGGCCTCTGAGGTGCTACTGGTCGGCATGATTCCCTTTGCCACCCGGTGCTGTTCTCCTGAGCAGGAACCTGGCACCTGCCTGCACCCACCCACAGAGCTGGAGCCGGAGCAGAAGGTCAGGAGCCCGCAGGAGGACCCGGGGTCCTTCAGGAAGAGGGCCAGCTTCTGGGCCACGGCGTCCAGCTCGGTGGAGGCGGCGTGCTGGAGGAGGTTGCCGCTGCGCACGAAGAAGTGCTTCAGGAAGCGCTGGCGTACGCACTTGTGCAGCTTCCTCGCCAGGCGCAGGAGCCCTTTGCTGAAGACCCGCCAGTCCTTGGCGTGGGGATACTTCTCGCAAGTCCAGAAGAGCACTGTCTGCGGAGGGAGGAGGGGGTCAGACGCGTGGGCCCCTGAGGAGGGCATCCTCGGGGACCCTGAGCTCACGTGACCCTGGGGCCAGCTGGTTCTGCCCCGAATTGCGGATCCCCCAACCTCAGCGGGTTCCCAGCCTTGCCCGTCTCCGACGCCTCTCCGTTCACGCCTTCGCTCCCCACTAACACGTCCAGTGATCACAGCTCTCCCCGCCCCTCTGCCTCTGCCTTGCAGGGAAAGCAGAAACCCTCGGGCCCAGACTTCAGCATCCTCCTCGCTGCCCCTCTGCTCCTCCCAGCTGGCCGAATCCCTCTCCTTCCGGAAACTGTGACGGATCTCCCGCTTCCTCGCTGGCTTTTAAACAGATCTCCTGCTCCCACCAATCCCACCTCTCCTCCTGCCCTAACTCTCCCCTGCAGATCCAGGTTGCTCCAATCGTCCCGTCTTTGTCTTCATTTCCTCTGCACCATTCCCTGCCTCAGTCCCTCCGGCTGGACTCTCCCACCATCAGTCCCCACAAGCTGCTCTCCTCCAGGCCCGGAGACCTGCACACGGCTGAACCCCGCAGGCCCCTTCCAGCCCGCGCTTCACCCGACCAGCCGGCAGATTCTCTCCTCCACACCCTCCTCTGGGGTTATTCCTCACGTGGCTTCCAGGCCACCACACCCTCGGGTTTCTCCCAGCACCACAGCTACTCCTCCGCAGGCTTCTCCTCCCTAAGCATGGCGTTCCCCAGCTCCAGGCCCTCCTACTCGATCTTCCTTCCACCACAGTGGCTTTCATTTCCACGAGACACAGGTGACTCCCAATTCTCTCTCCAGCCCAGACTGCTCCACTGACTTCTTTACCTGGTATTTCTTGAAAATCTGAAAGTCATCTTTCAACATGTCCCAGCTGAGCTCACGGCCTTCCCCCTACCTGGTCTGCCTCCAGAGCTGCTCATTCAGCCAGTCATGCAAGTCACTGACCTGGGGTCACCCCCGCCCTCGCCAACCCCAGGCAAGTCCTGCCGATCCCGCTGCCGACGTAGGTCTCAAATCCACCCACGTATCTCGTCTGCGGTGCGGCCGTCCTCTTCACCACATCGCGCCCAGACCTGCGCAACAGCCTTCCCACCTGTCGCCAGGCACACGGAAGCCAACGTGGTCTTTTTGAAATATGAGGACCTCCAAGTCTTCCCATTGCTTCAGCTAAAAACATAAACCTTTACATGGTCTGGCTCACAAGGTTTGGTCCAAGCTGCCTTTCCAGCCTCGTCTGGCCCTGCATGCTCTGGGGCTTCTCCTTGTAGCCACACTGCCCTCAGTTCTTTTTTTAAAATATATTTGTATTGATTTCAGAGAGGGGAGGAGAGGGAGAGAGAGAGAAACATCAATGATGAGAGAGAATCATTGATTGGCTGCCTCGTGCACACTCCCCACTGGGAATCGAACCCTGACTTCCTGGTTCCTAGGAGGATGCTCAACCACTGAGCCACACTGTCGGGCAACACTGGCCTCATTTCATGCTCTCTTCTCCCTCAGGGCCTTTCACACCCTACTTTCTACTTCAGCTTGGAGCACACCTACCTGCCCTCCCTTTTCCCAGGAAACTCATTCATCACAACAAATTGCCCTTTGACACCCATTAAACGCCCTCTTTGTCACTTATTTCTCATAAGCAGCAGTGAACCCAGTAGCCCTCATGTTCCTACGTGCCATGGGGTCCCTACTGGGCGGTGACCTCCCTGAGACAGAGGACTATACCTGCTTTTAGTCACTGTTGTGTCACCAGCCCCCCGCAGGGGGCCTGGCCCGCACGGGAGGCACGCAGGAAATGCTGACGGAGGGAAATAGTGAATTCACTAATGTGATGGTTTGGATGTTGGGTATGTTTAAAAATTCAGTCTAGACTAAAAAGTAAAAGAACAGTTTTACGGTCACGGCAAGATACTGACTACATTTTGACTTAGATTAAATTGTTTGACGCAAACGAGTTGGAGGTCATTTCATGCTGGTCAAGATAACCTGGATACGAAAGACAGGGGCTCATTCCTCTCCTGTCGTTAACCTTTCATCTCCCCAGGCAAACCGAGGCGAGTGAGCCCATGATACTTGAGGCCCCGTGCCTCTGAGTGGGTGCCAGTGAAAGGTAAGCTCTTGCTTCACGCTTTGGGGGAGAGCCTGTTGGGGGCGGAGGGGCGGACCCTTTGGGGGAGGGCCAGGCTTCCGGTGAGGTGAGCGTGATGGGCTCTTTTGCACAATCTCTTCCACGTTTCCCAGCCGGACGCCCTGCAATGGTCCTGCACGCTCGAGCCCTCCTCGGGGACAACCCACACCGCCACCAGCCGCGGCCATCGCACTGCCCGCTGACCAAGGGGGCAGACTGGGGGAAAAGGCAGCTGCTCCTCTCATCCCACCCTTCCAACACCTGACTCCCTTTTAAACGCCCCTTCCTGAGCACACGCAGTGTTGCTGTGCTCTGTGGGTGGGAAGGGAGGAACGAAGCGGAAACCCTTGAAGGAGTTGCCCTAAGACTCTAGATCAGCGGTTCTCAACCTGTGGGTCGCCAACCTGGGGGTCGAACGACCCTTTCACAGGGGTCGCCTAAGACCATCGGAAAACACATATAATTACAGATTGTTTTTGTGATTAATCACTATGCTTTAATTACGTTCAATTTGTAACAATGAAAATACATCCTGCATATCAGATATTTACATGATGATTCATAACAGTAGCAAAATTACAGTTATGAAGTAGCAACGAAAATAATTTTATGGTTGGGGGTCACCACAACATGAGGAACTGTATTCAAGGGTCGCGGCATTAGGAAGGTTGAGAACCACAGTGATTAATCACAAAAACAATATGTAATTATATATGTGTTTTCAGATGGTCTTAGGCGACCCCTGTGAAAGGGTCGCTTGATCCCCAAAGGGGTCGCGACCCACAGGTTGAGAACCGCTGCTCTAGATGACTAGAAGCTGCTGGGATGAAAGTGATCCGTAGGTGGGATGCAGTTTTGAGAGAAGTCACGGCGCCCTCGTCAATCTTGCCTTAACTATTCATGCCACTTAAAGTGTCTCTATCCATCTTAATTGTGGAGCAATGCCATTGGGGTCAAGATGATGAGGTTTTGCTCTGAGACAGACTGGAGTTTGCTTCTCAGCTCTACCTCTTCCCAGTGGAGAAAGACAAGCAAGAGAGAAGGTCAGGCCAGACAGAGTGCGCCCCTCCCCCAGCACAGGTGTGTGCTTTCAGGGCATGTGCCTGAGAACATGTTAAGAATGTAGACACTCGAGAGAAAGGTCCCAGACATGAAGAGACTCTCGGCCAGACCGAGGAGGACAGATCATCAGAAGAGATAAGAAGGCGGAGCAAAGGCCAGTGGTTTTGGGAGAGGGTGTGGGGAAGCCGAACAAGATGTGGAATCACTCATGCACTCTGCCAACCAATATCTACCAAGCAACTACTGGGTGCACAGCACTGGGCGAGACAGGGGCTCAGGAGTGAATAAGACCAACATGGTATCGTTGTCCATTGAGGGAGAGGAGGCACGGGTAGGAGCGTGCAAGGAAGACACCACATAGACCTGTGCTCCCGGGTAGGGCTCGGGGAGAAGCCTGAGCTCCCAATGGAACTAGCTGGGCTGGGGCTGTGCTGCCCGTCAGAGTCCCACACCTCCCGGCCCAAGCGAGCTGCACACGGTGCGACCTGGGCGTCCAGTTCTCCGTGTGCGGTAGGAAATTTGGGAAAGAGGAGCGGAAGAGGGTAATCAAAGGCCACTCTCCAGGAGGGGCGCCCTGGTTCCCGGAGCAGCATTCTTCCTCTCCCTGGTGCTCCCTGCATCACGTGATTCCACCTGCAGCGCTGCCTGATCAACGCCCGTCTCCCCTGCCCGCCCGGGAGCCGAGAGCAGCATATGTCTGTGTTTGCTCCCCAGGTACCTCCAGGTGCGGCAGGTGTCTGGCTTGTAGTCATCTCAACGCACATTTGCTGAGTGAGTGAGTGAGTGAAGGTGGGCGTGAAGGTGCAATGTTGGGTTTGGGGGGAGGGGAGGCAGGTGCTGGCAGGGTGACGGGAAACCCATGCCCGATGCTGGAACCCGGAAGTTCCGGTCCTGGTCTAACCTGATCACTCCCTGGTTTTCTCCTCTGCGCGGAGCGTGTGTGTGCGTGAGTGGCTGCACCTGGTCTGAGTGGGGACTGAGTCAGGACACGAGGAAAACGGGGCTTTATCTGAGGTCTGAGCAGCTCGCACGATTTCCCCAGACGGAAGACCTCTCGCGTGCAGAGGCCACGTGTTGCAATTCAGTCCTCACGCTCAGCGGGGTTTCTGGCGCACAGTGGGCACTTGTGGTGGTTTGTTGAGTGAAATAAAAGGAGGAGAGAGAGATAGAGACAGAGGGAAAAAAGGAAAGGCACAAAGAAAGAAAATGGAAGGAGGGGGAGGGGGAAAGGGAGGGAGAGGCGGAGGAAATGGTACCCTGGCCAGGGGAGTTGTGGGCACACTTACAGCTGGTTTCTCTCTCTCCATGAGTGGTCCTTTGTGATATGGCAAGTGGGGACACTGGACGCCCATCTGAATGCATCACATGCATCACACACACACACACACACACACACACACACACACAGGCCCGGTCCGTGTGGCCAGGCCAGGCCCGACCAGACGCCGAGGAGACCCACCCCGGTCGCCCCGGCCGCACACTCACCTGCAGGTGGTGGGACGTGATCACAGGCCTCCGCCCTGGACACCAGACGTCCTCCTTCATCTGCCGCAGGGCCTGGAAGCACCGCCGGCGGCAGCCCCCGTCCTCGTCCAGGTGCTCCAGCAGCACCCGCTCGGCCTGCAGGAAGCTCAGCTGCCAGTGATAATGCCAACGGGCCAACAGGGAGAACCCAAAGGACTGGAGGAAGAGGAGAACGCGGAACGTGAGAAGGAGGACGCTGGCCGGAGGAGAAAGCCATCCCCGCAGCATCCACTGGTCTGGGGGCCAGCCCCGGGGCAGGCGAGCACCCTCGTGGACACAGCCTCGGGGCCCGCCCCTCGCACGTGGGCAGTTAATGGCAGAGGCTGCGTTCCTTCCTCTGGGAGGGGTTCTCCGACGGGAACCTGCACCAGAATCACCTGGCGGCTTGTTAAAACCCGGAGGGCGGGGCCTGCTCCCCCAGCCTCGTTCCGGAGATCAGAGGGGGCGCGGGAACCTGCATGTCTAGCAGGTCCTCAGGTGCCGCTCCCTGGCGTGGGGTCCCCACCGGAGAACCGCGGGTCTGGGGAACCTGTTTTCTTTGGGAAGCTGGCTGGCAGGCCGCGATGCCGCGGTTGGCGGCTGTGAGGGCTGGGGGCCTGCTCACCAGTACCTTGACGCACTTCGCCCTGTCGGAGGAGGGCCAGCGCGACAGACACCGAGGCCACGGGGCTCTCTTGGACCAGGCGGTGGGGATCTCCACTTCCGGGGCCAGCTCGATCTCCACCTGCCCTACGGATGTTTCCATGGCAACATGGACTGTGATGCCGGTGGTGAGCACGCTGACCTTTCCTGGTGGGAAATGACGGACGGGCTCAGTAAAAGCATTCACAGAGGGAGTCTGGGAGCAGCGACTCTGACCAGCGCCCGCAGGCGGCCGGGCCATTTCCACGGTGTCAATAGCCCACCCAGGGGGGCACGGTTTATAGCAAAACTAGACAATGAGCCGAGTAAATATCGACAGAAGCCTTGCTAGGAAAATCGCATGGTTGGTGGGTTTTTCTTGTATCTTTCTCCTCCCTCCCCCAAGGCTTTTCTTTGAAATTAATGGATTCTTTTCAGGAGGCTCAACTGAAAGAGACGCTGAATACAAACAAAAGGTAGAGCATTTGCTGCTGTAAGATGAAATCTGACCATTCTTCCACATCCCCTTCATTCCACGCAGCCACCGACCTTGTCTGAGACAGCCTCGCCCCTTGCTAATTCATCGGCCTGTGGTGGCGTTCGGTTTAACCGTCTCTTGTCCAAGTCACAGGCTCCTGGGGGTATCTGTTCTCACCAGCATCACGCCAGCCCCGCCCCCGGCTGCATTACCATCCTAAGGCCTCGCAATTATAACCTGCTGCCCAGTCACTGGCTTCAAGAGTTCAGTGAGCCGCCCAGTGGGTGTGGCTCAGGGGTTGAGCATCAACTTCTGAACCTGGAGGTCACGGTTCGATTCCCAGTCAGGGCACATGCTCGGGTTGCCGGCTCGATCCCCAGCGTGGGCGGGTGTGCAGGAGGCAGCCGATCAATGATTCTCTCATCATTGATGTTTCTTTCTCTCTCTCTCTCAAATCAATAAAAATATTTTTTTTTTTAAAAAAGAGAGAGTCCAAGAGCAGAGGAAGCCCACACGCCGTCACTTCCCACCAGACGGAGAGAGGGAGAGAGGGAAACGCACTTGGTCAAGTTTCCCAGCTCAGAGGCTAGAATCCATTTCTGATCTGTCCCCACTTATTTTAAAGGATGCAGGTTGTTGTTTTTAATATATTTTTATTGATTTCAGAGAGGGAGAGAGAGAAACAGAAACATCAGTGATGAAAGAGAACCACTGACTGGCTGCCTCTGCACGCTCCACACTGGGGATCCAGCCCACAACCCGGGCATGTGCCCTGACCGGGAATCGAACCCTGACCTCCTGGTCCACAGGTTGCCGCTCAGCCACTGAGCCACGCCGGCTGGATGCAGGCTTTTTGTCTGGCTTCATGAGAGAAAGACGAGCCCCTGGGTGGGGCGCTGGTACTTGGCTCTTGGCCCGGAGAAGGGAACAGAAGCTCCCTCGCTGCCTGTGTCGGCTGCTCCACAGGGAACATTCTTTCCCTGCTGGGGTGGGAGGAGGAGCCTATTGTCTCCTCTCAGAGCCACCCAGACACAAACACGAGGAAGCCTACCACTTCAGCATGATTTACTGACAGCTAATCCTCAACCCGCCGGGTGTGACTCTCTCATACCCACTCTCCCTGCGGACAGCGTGGCAAAGCGAGCAGGCCAGCGACTGCCAGACCCGCCTGCCTGGCCCGCGCCCAGCTCTGCTCACCCACGTGGTACTTAATCTCTCTACATCTCATTTTTTATCTATAAACAGGTAGAAAAATAATTCTTACTCTCTAGGGGTGCTATGCATATTAAATTAAATAATCCATGGGAGCATTCTCCCCATGGTCACAGTCCATTAAACATGGGCTATTTCCATCATGGAACCTTCCAGAATCCTTCTGTCTAGACAAGGAAATGTGCACGGACCCCCCATTCCTTCCTGTGCAGATGGCACAGGTGTTGCTCAGCTCTCTGGTTCTCCACTTAATTGTTCTCACTCCTGTGTGCGAGCACAGGCACCTTCCCTTTCTGAAGGCTGCACAGTCCCCGAGGCGAGGCAGCAGGATTTACTCGGTCCGTGTTCCTTTTTCGGACCCTTTCTAGCTCCCCACTACCACACAGCCTATGGACCGTGGGGATCCTCGTACATATGTCTTTGTGTATCTGTAAGAATCTCTCTCTAGAACTGGAATTACTGGATTGCCCAGGAAAGCAGATCACAAGGTTACCCTTTAAAAGGTAGACCCTACTTTTTCTCGGTCCTCTCACCTGACAGTGACAGGTTCGAATGGGTCATTTCCGGAAACCTTGAGCCACTTGGGAGGCACATGTCGCCTGAATGCTCACGTCTGCCTTGAGCCACTGCCACAGGTTCTCCATGAACTGCTGCACCTCCAGCCACTGCTGCAGGGCCCTCGGGGCTCCGCTGGGGAGCAGGTGAGCCTGGCGCCCTGCAGCGTGTAGTACCGCCAGCGCTGCTCCCTGGCCTCCCGGTACCCGGAAAGGCCTCTCACTGGGACTGTGACGAGGAACTGGCTAGGGGACAACACCTGGGGTCCGAGAGGAGAGAGAGCACGAGTGTGAGGTCACAGGTGTGCCCTGGAGGTCACAGGCGTGCCCTGGAGCCACCTGCTGAGCCAGGCAGCTCCGTTAACCACTCAGCCCTCAGCAATGTGACGAGGTGGACGGGAACGGCACCTGCCTATTGCGAGGGCCCATCCTGTCCTGCCACTGACCCCCCGTGATGCCTCGAGTAGCACATGAAGTCACCGAGCCCTTGGCTTCGTGAGTCTGCAAGGAAGAGGCATGAAGGAAACCTGGGCTTTGCAGGGCACCTCATGTTTACGGGGAGGAGTTTTCTCCCAGAAAGACATTTCCCAGGATGTAGTTCTAGGAAAAGTAATGTTGTGCTTCTATTCCTAGTCACGGGTCTACTTTTGTCTAATTTAGGAGGCAGTGGAAGTGGGTGGGAGAGGGGGGGCGGAGATGTGCTGACATTCCAGGATCTAATCTAGTTTTATCATTTGCATCCTAGGGTGAATTTCCCAGGATCTTACTGTTTCAAAATGCAACAAGTCCCAGAATCTTATGGGTGGTCCCTACCTCCACTGACCTCGGAGTGTACGCACCAGTACATCATGTGCTCACATACTAATGCTTTTGCTCATTCATTCATTCAACAGAAGTTGAGTGTCTACCGCAGGCTGCACCCTGCTGGGGGCTGGGAACGGAGCCATCAACACACATGATCCCTACAAACGAGGGACATAGTCGGGTGGGAGAGAGGGGCGTGAATACAGATATCTTTAACACAAATGGAAGGGGTTCTTGTGTGCCGTAAGAAAAATCGAGATCCAGGGGCACGGGGATCCAGAATAATCCAGAGCCTCGCTTCGCCTGTCCCTGAAAGGAAGAGAACCCTCGTGTCTGCTCAGCGAGATTGTCTGCAGGCGAGATCGTTCTGGGAGGACGGCTTCGCCCACTCCACAGTGGTGCATGAACGTGCGCGGGCTGGTACCCTGGCGGCTTACAGCTCTGGAGGCTCCTCGGCAGGGACAGGGGTTCCGAGGCGGCTTGGAACCCCTGTTTCTAAAGGCCACCTCTCCCATTGCCTTCCCTCCCCACCTGCAACCCACAGAATACTTCCAGCCATTTTCTCGACAATTCCCTCTGCCCAGCCCCCAATCTATGGTTACTGTGAGAGTGGCACAGGCCTGGCTCAGGGCCCCAGGGTGCCTTCTGGCTTCCGCGCCCCATAGGACTGACCTTGCCCTGTGACTTCCCCGTCTCAGTCTCCATCAGCTGGAAGTTGGAATGTGGGCGCTCACATGAGTGTGTAAGCGGTAAAAACTCAGTCCCCGAGGAAACAGGCAGTACCGCTAGTATTCTCAGTGGTGTCAGCGCCTGTCACGTGCGGTTCCCGGGAGCCCCGGGTGGGCGCCCAGAGGCGAGGGAGGCCGCTCACCGTGATGTTCCCGTTGTACATCAGGGAGTACGGGATGGCTTGGAAGCGGATGTCCTGGTTGCTGATTTCTGTGGTCAGGTGGTAGATGACCTTCTGCACCTCCTCCACCATCTGGGACACCCGCTGGGCGCCTCTGGTCCACCTGGGGGGCGGGGAAGCAGCACAGGGGTTATTTCTGGGGCTGCCCCGGGCACTGGCATAAGGAAGTGACAGGACAGGACACAGTGGGGTGACCACAGGAGCAGGGCTTCCGGGAGAGGGGCTTCAGGGCTGATGGTGCTTGTCAGTGCTTGAGAGCTCACTTCTAAAATAGAGGCACCCATTCGTCGGGCTGGCGTGGCTTCATTGGTGAGCATCAACTTGTGAACCAGGGAGGTCACAGTTCGATTCCTGATCAGGGCGCATGGCCGGGTTGCGGGCTCCATCCCCAGTGTGAGGTTTGCAGGAAGCAGCTGATCAATGATTCTCTCTCATCATTGATGTTTCTCTCTCTCTCTCTCTCCCTCTTCCTTCCTCTCTGAAATCAATTTTAAAAATCTTAAAAAAATAAAATAGAAGCATGCATTCAAGTGTGAGTTCACAGACTTGGGAGGTCACAGACATTCCCTGCCGTTTGGTTGGTGCCCCATTTCCACATGCTGGCGCACAGCGAACAAGACAACAGCGAACAAGACAGGGATACTTGCCCTCCAGTTGAAAATTCAGGACCTAGGTATATATGTACACACATATACACACGTGTACATATACATACAGGGTGGGGCAAAAGTAGGTGTACAGTTGTTCATATGGAAAAATAATGCAATAATTAATAAATGATAATACAAGGATAAATTCTGTTTCGCGAGCTCACAACTGTAAACTTACTCATGCCCCCCTGTATGTGTGTGTGTGTGTGTGTGTGTGTGTGTGTACAATGTGATATCAGGTAGGGTAAGTCCCATGAAGAAAAGTCACATGGGATGAGGGATTAGAGAATAAAAAGGCTACTATTTTGGAATCAGGTGGCCAGGGAAGTCATCTCTAAGGAGGTGACTTTGAGTGGGCCCTGCTGACAGCTGGGGAAAGCACATTCCTGGCCCCCAAAGCAGGAGCACGCCTGGCAAAGCCGGGGGGCCAGCAAGGGTGCCCCAGGGGCTGGAGGCCGGGAAATGGCAGGGCCAGACCATCACGCAGGGGTTGTGAACTGTGGGGAGGCGATGACGTTAGGGGGCGATGACACCTCCTGTCCAGGCTGGTGACTATGAAACGGGTTCGCCCGTGTGGAGATTCAACAGTTTAACGTCCAGCGACTGCTTCCCTCCATGTCCATAAACCACGGCTCCCTTCTCCTCGGAACTCCCCCCTCCTGGACCTGCTGACTCTGCACAGCAAGTCTCCAAAAATTGGGATATACCCCCAGAAAACTGAACCCCAAAAATACATGCCTTTAGAGATATGCAAGGTTTAGGGAAATAGATGTTTGTGGGAAACACAATGGAATTTTTAGTCAACTCCAGGAGAGACAGAAAAATCCAAATCATTTTTGGATGGGAAGTCTGTAAGTTTTTTCTGAAACAGAGGCATGGCTCCGTGGTTGAGTGTTGACCCATGAACCAGGAGGTCACGGTTCGATTCCCAGTCAAGGGCACGGGCCCAGGTTGAGGGCTCTCTTCCCAGTAGGGGGTGAGCTGATCGATGATTTTCTCTCATATTGATGTTTCCATCTCTCTCCCTCTCCCTTACTCTCTGAGATAATTTTTTTTTTAAAAAAAAGAGGGAATGGGAGACAATCAAGTGAAGACAGAGGTAAGCAACTCCTCTAGGAAGTTGGCTAGGGAAGGAAAAACAAACAAGGACACCGACAGGTATTTTCAAAATGACACGCAGGTTCAAGCACGTTTAAATGCTGACTGAGAAGAGCCAGTGGAGCAGCAGGGGTGGGGGTGGGGGCGGAGGGCAGAGCCACTGAGTAAGGGTTTCCCAGCCAGGAAGAGCTGGGCAAATGCAGAAACCCGGTGAGGACTCCACCGGTGCCAGGAGGAAGGAAAGATGGGTGCAAACACAGAGGAGAGGGCAGGGAATGTGGGAATCCGAGACTTCCTGTCTGATGACTGTTTTCTTTCTGAGCAGGAGTCCAGGCAATGGGCTGAGAGGGAGGACAGAGGTGGGAGGGAGGGACTGCGGGTGACAGACTTTGGGAATAGCTTCTCTAAGGAATGAGGGGCTGCCTGGGCACATGTGTGAGATTGTCAGGCAGAGACCAAGAAAGTGGTGGGTGGGCCTATGAGTCTGTGGGTGGGCCTATGAGTCTGTGGGTGGGCTCATGAGTCTGTGGGTGGGCTCATGAGTCTGTGGGTGGGCCTATGAGTCTGTGGGTGGGCCCATGAGTCTGTGGGTGGGCTCATGAGTCTGTGGGTGGGCCCATGAGTCTGTGGGTGGGCCCATGAGTCTGTGGGTGGGCTCATGAGTCTGTGGGTGGGCCCCACTGTAAGATGCTCTCAGCACAAAGCTAACAGTTGAGGGGCGAAGCCTGGGGTTTGCTGGGCAAGATGTGCAGGTGGCTGAGAGAGCACGGGAGGGTTTCAGCGGCGGGCCACGTTTCGCACTCTGGTCAGAGAATGGACAAAGCCGGGTTAGTAGGTGAGGGGACATCCGATGACCAGAAGTCTGACCAGGAACAGCAGGGGAAAGTAACACAAGAGCTGACGATAGAATGTTGTGGTCAGAGTGGTTGGGAACCGCATCTCACAGTAAAGTTCTCAGTGTTGTGAGCACCGAGGCTAAGCCAGCCCTCCCAGTGCCCTGGCCGTGGGTAAGTTACGCTACACTTGTCAGCATGCAGATTCAGTCACTCTCGCTAAGCACAGTGTATGCACAAGCAGCCATGAGAGCACCCATTCATCCCTTAAGGGCGCCATCCATGGTTGGCCTCCCTCTCTCCAGGCAGCTCTATGTACGCGTCCCCATCCCGGGCTACGTCCCTCTCCCCTGAACCAGTGTCAGGCCCATTGCTGTCCCACACATCACCTGCTACTATTAATAGCTCAAGTTTGTGGACAACTTTTACCGTTTCAAATATAAATTATTTGGACGTCAAGATTGTTCCCTATAATAACATGCTGACCCACTTGCATGGCAAATGCTTCCTTGAGAGAGAGGCACGGAGATGGCACTGAATAGTGTGCCAGGAACGAAATGTCACACGGGCGTGGTCACACCCCGAGCATGTGGCCCGTGCAGATGTCACCCATGGTCAGTGCCACTGGGGAAAATGCTGAGGCCTTCCTTCCCGACAACAGGAAGTCAGACTTTTAATTCTGGAATTGCATTTAATTCCAAGAACCGGTTTGTGTGTTTCTAAATGCCGGCCGGTGTGGCTCAGTGGTTGAGCATCGACCCAGGAACCAGGAGGTCATGGTTCGATTCCTCGTGAGGGCACAGGCCCAGGCTGCGGGCTCGACCCGGAGCACAGAGTCTCTCTCTGGTAGCAGACCCATCCCAGACCTGTGTTTTGGGCACAGTATTCTGCACAAAGCAGTGCCCAGTGTGTTTATGGAGATGCGTACAGAGGGGTTTAGCAGAAGAAATGCGGCTTTGGGGTAGAAAAAGAGTAGACTGAAACCTCAGCATCCTCTTCCTAGCTCTGTGACTTCGGACCAGTTACTTAACTCACAGGAGCCTCCGTTCCCTCCTCTGTAAACACGGGGGGATGGGCATGCACCCCATAGCTGTTGGTTAGATTAAGTGAGACACTGTACGGGCCTCAACCTGCCAGCACCTTTCACACTATTCCTGCATTGTCTTCAATGAGCCGTGAACATAATTCTGGCCACGTATGTGCAAAGATAGCGTGTGAATTTCAGGGGGAATAAAAATATCCAAGACTCTCTTCTTCGCCCCAGAAACTGAGCAACAATAAAACAATATAACATTGACGTTACCACCCCAAGATAATAACAAGAACAGCCTCAGGAGTCCATGTACAATTGATTGTCAGATAAATGTGTTCACTAATAACACGAGAGGAGTCCACAGGAAGGCAAACACGGTTTGTGCTGCGGTGCCCGGGACATTGCGTTGAGAAAGTGGACTCAGCTGAGTTTGATGGGTGTCTATGGGGCAGAAAAGTGGGAGCAGAGAGGCTCTCTCCCCTGGTGGGGCGTGGGGGGAAGCTGGGGCCTGAGACCTCAGGAAAGTTCTGGTGGGGCGGGAGTGGCAGACAGCCCCCTGCAGGGTGAGGAGGGGTGAGGAAGGGGGTAGAAGGTGAGGAGGGGTGAGGAGGGGTGTGTGGGAGAGTACCCGTCCTCACCTTATCCAGCAGGCAGGCTTCGAAGTCGTCCGCGACCAGGGGTTGCATGGCTCCCTGCTGAGTCCCGAGTGGAGGCTCCATCCTGTTGCTTGAGGGGAGGACAGCGCTGTGAGCGGCTCCTCCCAACAGCGTCAGCCTCTCTGCTAGATTCTCTGGGGACGTGTGCGTGGACCAGAGACTGGCCTTCTCGATTCTTCACTTAAGCTCCTATTTCCAAACAGGGAGCATCCATCTGTTATCTTTGGGAGGATTTAAAAAATCATTTAAAAAGGAGAGTTGATGAAATAGAATTGGAGCCCAACCTAATTTTATTCCACTTAGCGCTATGCTTTGGCCGAAGTGCAGTGTTCCAAGTTGTCCTTCCCGTCCAATACGGGGCAGAATGACCTCAGCTGGCGTCTCCACCCCTCACGCTCCGGTCCTACAACAGGTGCCCCCCGGGGCTCAGTATCTTATATCCCCTCCTCCTTCTCCTGTTGACAGTAAATATCTCGTGCCCTCCACCCAGAAAACCTGGATTATTTTCCTTCTTTACAATAAACAAAACAGGAAACTGCCTAACAACCAGCCTGGCACCCATAATTGTGCCCACAAACAAGCGATTAGGTCTTGTCAACCAGATCAGGGCACGATCTGCATATAAAAAAGTGCACGCACACACACACTCACACACACAGGCACACATGTGCACACACACAGGCACACACGCGCACACACAGGCACATGCACAGGCACACACACAGGCACACGCACACACACGCACACAGGCCCACACACAGGCACACGTACGCACACCCACCAATGGCAGGACAGG